GTATCTATTTGTGGAGCATTGTTTAGTATCAATTTGCTGTTTAAGTTTACATGAAATAATGCCCATCTTAACAATCTAATGTTAGGAAAAAATTCCTGTCCCTGTACATCATTGTTGATGAATTGCTTTAACAAACCAAGCATTTGAGACTTTAACTATGGGAAAATTTTGTTGATAATTTTTAATCTTTTCCCAGTGTAAGCTAAGCTAACATTAACTGATTTTTAGACTGGATTCTACCCACATACCTGGTGATTAACAGGTGTTCTACTCAATTTTTATAGGAACAGAGATGCAGTTAAAGCTTTAGAATGGTATCTGGTATGCTCTAAAAATTTACCTATTATTAACTTGAAGTGCTAAAAAAAAACTGAGATCACTATAACTGAGGACCTGGTTGTTCAATTGGACAATGTATGTGGATACATAGAAAATAATATGAAATTCCACATAAATTTAAATTCTCTAGAAACACAGTTTAAGTTTATAAATATAATATTTTGAATTACATTATGATATTTCAGGGTAAAAACATGCTGTTAAACATTGAGGTTACTCAGTTTATTATACCATATCAGTTTAATAAACTTTGAGGTAACATGGAAACTGAAGTTGACAGTTAATTACATTTTAAACAATTAATACATAAGTATAAGTACATTCAACAAATTTTGAAGTCAGTTAGTAACAACTGTATTTTCCAAGTAATTTACAAACCAAGAGAGTTTTGTGTTGATTATTTACTAGTGAAGTTAAAATCAACACTATAGTCTATGTATAGAAATAAGTTACATTCAAAGCATCTTTTTCTAAAAACTGAAACTCTGTAAGTATATTGTTCTGTATATTTCCACAGAGGAAAGGTGGTTCTTCTGCTGCTGTTGATTGGACAGGCCGCATGACCTTTTCGAAGTTTGACATCAACAAAGTTATTCAGCATGGAGGTCACCTTTTGGCTTCAGAAGGAAAAGAATATGAATTAGATGAAACAACAGGTATTAATTTGAAATTGGAAGAATAACTTCACAAGTACAGAAATAAATATTATAAAGTAATTTAATTCAGTTTATAAAATGGAATTAGTGCCCAAAATTACTTCATATTTTTAGATTAAAATTTAAAAATTACAAAAATTGCACAAAAGAAATAAAACATTTTTTCACAGTACATCAACTAAACAAACTAGAAAAAGTATGTTTTAAGTTTTGTTGTCACTTTCTGCACATATAACGAATACATCTTGAGTACTGTTTTCTGTGTGAGATGGCACTGAATTTTTTTTTAATTATAAGGTGTGTGCAAAATGCTGAATGACTGCCTATATGAATATATACATTTTCATACTTGCTCGTTCTTTAACCCTTTTATCATCATATTCTCAAATTTATAATCAAAGAAACCATGGTATGTTTTGTAAATTGTAGATTGCTAATCCCAGTACTGCTATATTAATTTTTCAGTGTTATTTCTAATAAAATCTTAAGCTTTTTTTCTTCAGTACTTTAATGTTTCAACCCATTTGTTGTTGTTTTTTCAGTTCATTTTGATTACAGGAAAAGGTTTGAGAAAAATTGTTTGATATTACTTGAATATGCATTAGAAAGTTGCCATTTTGGGTAATACTTTGTAATATTGAATTGTACCCTGAAGTAGGTTTTATACTCCTTATATGCTCAAATGGTACAATATTTAGAAACATGTTTTGTGAAGTAGATGATTATATTCAAATGTTGTTAACTGATCCTTTGAGGCTGAGTATGCATGGCTAATCAGTGTTTCTTTATATCCAGTGAATTGATGGTTGTTCCAACAGAATGACTGGTATTTTACTTGTGTGATTCTAATATGTAGAAAAAATATATACATAAGAAGGCTCATAATTTATAAACTGAATGTAAAACAAAGTCGTGTCTGAAGTTGTATTTGATTAAACTATATAAATCTAGGTACTACTGACAAAGTTTCATTGAATTAGGAGCACTACAGTGATGAAAAAATATATGTTTATTCAACATTATAAACATTATTTTACTTATTCTAGTTATCAGAGGGTTATTATTGCACAATTTTCTCTTGGCTTATGCAAATAATTTCATTTTTCATAGGGAACTCGTATGGTATTTTGTAGAAAACGTTTGCAAAAAGTTTTAATTATGTTTTCTCGTTATTAGGTGTGAACTGTAAAGAGAAAGTTGCACTAGAACGTCAACTGTTGAATAAAAGATTGGGGCTAGATATAGCTGAGCGAATGGGAATAGACACAAATGATATATTCTCAAATGATGATCTTCAGCTTACTGCTAAAGAAGAAAAGAATGGAGAAGCAAAGAAGGTTTGTTTGATAATGAAGCTTATCATTAAAAATTGCATCTACTTTACTAAGTAGGTCAGCAGAAGTCAAAATTTGATAAATTTATAGTTATGAAGAATAACCTACACTATTTAAACAAAATAGAATAAAAGTGCCAAATGCACATATATAAGATTGGTGATATAACATATTTATTGTATTTTAAATGAACATACACTTGATTAAAAGTTGGGCTGGATGTGGCTTAGTGGTTAACATGCTGGGCCACAAATCAAATACAACAATCTGAGATGTGATGTTATTGAACACACATCACACTTTTAGCTTTGGGCATGATATACAAGTTACATTCTATCTCATTAATTCAGTTCAATAACTGAACAAAGCCATTGTGGCATGAGGTATTAATGACTGATTGCCTTCTTTCTGATCAATAGTTCAAAATTAAGGACAATTAACCTGAACCCTTGGGATCTTTGGTGTACATATGCATAAGGTGCCATTTAGGTTGAAATTCCAATTCCATTAGAAGATAATTTTTAACATAATTTATCTATTTTGTATTGTGATTATAATACAAGCTACATGAGTTATTCATAGCATTTTGAAACTAATAATTGTTTTGTATATAGTTATCTCCTCCTTATGAACAATTTCTAATTCATTTAATATTAGGAAAATGAAATGGAAATTTATCAAATATCTTTTTAGGATTATAGTGATCATCATATATATAGAATATTTTGGTTATTTTCCTTCTTTTTTTTTCAACCTCAGGCCTTATCTGAAGTTTTTGAAACAGAACTGTCACAAATCACTCCAAATCTAGGTGATAAAGACATTAGTAAAATTAGCAAAAGACGATCTCGTTTGTTGGCTAAACAAAAGTCCAAGGAATCCCCGGATTATATCTCCCAGAGGTTAGCTTGTTATTTTCATTATGTTACTTGTTTTATTAATTTGTAATGTAAAGGGTCTTTTAATGCAGGCTCTTAATCATATAAAAGTGATTAGATTATACATTAAAGAGTTTGCATTTTTTGTGGTTTTTATTTTGTTAATTTACAGAAGGAAATAACATTTTCAGAATTCTATAATCAGTGAATTCTCTAAGTCTAAATTAAATAGCTAATCTTGGTGGGCTTCATAAACCATTGTCTTAAGCTTATAGTATTTGTAGCTCTCAAGCGGTAAGTGTAAAAAGAAAAATTATACATCAGGTGTAATGATACATTATATTTGTGTTTTTAGTTTTGATAAAGATGGTGAGCCACAAGTTAAGAAACCTAGAAGAACCACTACTGTTCTTGTTGAACAACCATCTACAGAAGATACTCTTCTTCTTGACAATGTTCCTGATAATGAAAGTCTATGGGAAGAGGTATTTCACATGTATTCATTCTTTGTTGGAGATATTTTATGTAACTAAAACCCCATATGTGCCTAATAAGATGGTTCCCAAAGTTTTTAATTTCCATCGTCTTTCCCCCCCCCCCTCAACAAATTTGTATTATCAAAAAAAAAATCCTCCATGCAAAATCTTAGCTTGATTAGTAAATATTTAGGGGTGCCTTCAAGAGACTTGTTATTATTATCTAGGTTCATTTCTATTATGCCATATTTTATTTTACAAATATTATATGTTATAAAAATTTAATCCATGTTGCGTGTAATTAACACTAGCTAAACAGTACATATAAGCAGTTAGTGCAGATACAAAATTGATTGAGATCATACATTTGAAGGTCATTAAAATCATTCTGAGCAAACCAGCAACTCAATCCTAATAAAACAGGAAGACCAAAAACAATTCTTACTCCAAGTGTAGAAGAAATAAATTTCTAGACTGCAAGAAATTAACATTTGAAAAAGCTCATATTTTAATTTTTTCATTCATTGCATAATATATTTAATTTTTAAGACAAGCATTAATTTGAAATAAAGGCATTTTATTCTTTAATAATTCAAATATCTTAAATTGATAAAAAACATTTGTGAGATATTTTCTTTCACAAAGGAATAAATTGACAAGGTAAGACTGAAAAAAAACAATTTTTTACACTTATATTGAGGTGTATAAACCACGATAATGAAATTACTTTCTGTCTAGGAAAAGTCTGATCATAAGAGAATAAGCAAGTCACATTTTACACTAAAATCAACATTTTGGGGATCTTGAAAACTTATAAATGAACTATAAAATTCCTAATTATATTTTATCCAATTTCTTTGAAATGAAAGGTAGGAGTTGTGTAGAATTTAGTCATACTGTGTTTTCCAGTGAAAAGGAAAATGTAAAAAATTGTAGTTTTGATCAAAAAACAAAGATAAGCATAATGAAAAATAAATTTGCAATAATGGTTAACAACCATTTTGTCATCAAAGCACATTTGATGATAAGGTTTGGGCTAATAGCCCATAGCTAGTACAGCTGTAATATATACATTGAGTTCTAAAACAACATTGTTTAAAAACCTTTCTTTTAATGAAATTGGGAGAATATACAGAATTCAAGATTCCTCTGGTTTCTAATTTGCTATTAGCCAAATATCATTCAGCATGCCCTTATCATATTGCATTGAAGGTCAAAATACTGAAGTAATAATTAACACAGTGCAAAATAAAAACAACAGTTTTAATAAACCTTTGAAAACTAAATTTTAATATGATTGAGATAAAATGAAAAAAAAGGCAACATTTATTTTTACATTTAACATTTTTACTAGTTGTTAGTGATATTGAGAAAGTGCTAAAGAAAGTAAATATTTTTTATATACTGTTGTGTTATTAGCAAGAATACATATTTGTTATAATTATAAACTGCTGCCCAGTTAAGATTATTTTTCATAATTTTACAATAACTTCAGTTACAGTTTGAAAGTGTAACTTAACGAAACAACTACGGTGTTGGTATAATACAGGGTTGGTGAACCTCTTTAAGAGTATGTGCCCAAATTGTTGATAATTTTCAGAAAAATTCTTTTATGTGCCCATGGAAATTTTGAGCAGCAAAATTACTGTTATTATTATTAATTTTATGTATTATAAATATTTTATATATAATTATTATATTATATAATTAATAAAAAATTTTCATGTGCCACCTTGGGCACGCATGCCTGGTACAATATATTAGGTTTGTAGCATTGTACCTAAGAGAAACTTTAATACTTGAGTTAAAAAGTGTGCTTTGCATAGTTACTGCCTTGTTGTTATTTTAGAATATTTTAAACCTATCAGTATAACAATACTGAAATTAGTTCATGTTAATAGTACTTAGCATTTGCTTGAAAGTCTTTCTCATTATTTTGGTATAAGTGTAAGAAAAGCTATTAAGATGTTCAGGATATTATAATTCTGTGTATACTGATTGAAATCTAGGTTTACCTAGACCCTACACATTCTGTAGATATTATATAGTTTGTGCATTCTTTTTATTCAAAGTTTACAACTTGCACATAATGGTTTTTAATCGTTTAAGGTTTCTTGCATATGTTTATTACTGCATGAATTCTTCATAAAATATATCTTATGTTTAACCTTCATGATGTCAGAAAAACACGTAGGTTCAAGATACAAGATGACAAAAACCTTATAACCCGAGCACTTTCGAAAG